CATTGATCATAAATATTTTGCAGAAAATATCTTTCTTTTTCTCTTTCGTTTTGACCAATATCCTTTTCCCAAATATCTCATTATTTTGTTTTGTATGTTTTATCAATTTGCGTCTTTTGCTTTTCGACTGTGTGTAAAAGCTGAGCCACAATTTCGCTATTCTCTCATCTGTCACTTCTGCAAGAAAAATCAATATCAAAACCAAAAGACAGAAGAAGAAAAAAAAAATGCAAGCGATTGGCTCCGCAAGAGGAAGCCATGGGAGTCTCTGCTTCAACCACTCTCTCTCCAAATTCCTCTCTCCTTCTTCTTCTCCCTCGCTTCTCCCTCAGGTAAACAAAATCGATACGAAATTTGAACCATACCCATCATCGTGTTTGTTTCTTAGATTGTTAATCCGCTCGAACACTTAGTTTCAGCTCCAAAAACTTAATTAAAGTTTCGATTTTTAACACAGAAAGATACAATTTTTTTTCTTCTTAATTTTGTGTTTATTGGTACCTTTCATTGCGCAAAACTTTTCGAAATTTAACACATAAAGATCAAATTTTTCAATTTGTGTATGTACAATTTCTAATTCTACCTCTGTTTCCTTCAACCTACTACTTCATTGTTACTTTAGTTTTGTTTGCTTTGGTGCATTTGTATATATGATCTTAATTACGGTTTATGCTATGGTTTTGATTTAGTTGCATTGTCTCTTTTTGTTACAGAGATGTCATTCGTTCTGTATTCCGAAGATTGGAGCTGTCCCTGAGAATGGCAGAGGAAGAAATGTGACGGTAAAAGCCTCCTCTTCGGGAGAAGACACTAACGAGAACTTTGCTTCGCTTGCTCCTGTTGAGCTTGAATCTCCGGCGGGACAGCTTTTGGTACAGATTCTTAGAACTCATCCTCATCTTTTACCCATCACTGTCGATCAGCAGCTCGAGAAAATAGCCAGCGAAAACGAGTCTCTTAAAGCCGAATTGTCTTCAACACAAGATGTTCTCTCTAAGTAAGTCTTTTCCTCTCTCAAGTTTCTCGTTTGCTACTGGTTTTGAGTGAGAAACGCTTAAGCAGAGAACAGTAGACTTGGAGTATTGATTGAGTCTGCGTGTAGGAGCCGTTCTATTTCATTCATTAGATTGTTTCTTTCAGTTACGAGAGGTCGGTGTATACTTGATTTGCAGGAGGATATCTGAAGTTAGAGATAAGGAAAGACGAAAAACCTTGGCGGAAATCATCTACTGTTTAGTGGTACATAGATTTGTGGGAAAAGAAATCTCGATGATCCCTCGGATTAAACCAACTTCAGACCCGGCAGGACGGGTAGACTTATGGCCAAACCAAGAAGAGAAGCTCGAAGTCATTCACTCTGCGGAAGCATTTGAGATGATACAGAGTCACTTGTCTTCGGTACTTGGAGACCGAACAGCTGTTGGTCCTTTAAGCTCTATAGTTCAGATAAGCAAAATCAAACTGGGAAAGCTATATGCTGCTTCTGTGATGTATGGCTATTTCCTCAGAAGAATAGACCAAAGATATCAACTTGAGAGAACCATGAAAACACTTCCGAAACGACCTGAGAAAACACGAGAAAGATTCGAAGAACCTTCGCCTCCTTACCCGTTATGGGACCCGGATTCCTTGATCCGGATCCAACCAGAGGAATACGATCCTGATTATGCAATAGAAAGAAGCGAAGATGAGTCATCGGCTTCTGGATTGAGATCATACGTTATGCAATTGGACTCAGATACGCTTCAGAGATACGCGACAATACGGTCTAAAGAAGCAATGTCTCTGATCGAGAAGCAGACTCAGGCGCTGTTCGGGCGGCCTGATATAAAGATACTAGAGGACGGTAAGCTCGATACGTCTAACGATGAGATACTGTCTCTGAGTGTCTCTGGACTTGCAATGTTGGTTTTGGAAGCTGTGTCTTTTGGGTCTTTCTTATGGGATGCAGAGAGCTATGTTGAATCCAAATACCATTTCCTCAAGGCTTGAGTTTTGAGTACTCTTGTTGTATCTTTGTTTTGCTAGTAATGTAAAGAAAGAAGAAATTTAATTTTTATTTTTGAATGTAGTGAATGTAAATGATAATTTCTCATGAGAATCTAGTAATAAACAACTCATAATATTGTAGAATGTAATAAACTACTCTTTAAACTTTATATTCATACTCTTTTAGGGAACCGAAATTAAATTATATTGAGGGTTTGAACTTTCATTTGTTTGGTGTTTAAATAATTTGTGTTTTTTCCCAAACATTTTGAACATTGGAAACACGAAATATAGACGGAAAAAAGTATTTGTTGATGTTTGTTACTAGATTCATATTTTTAAATGATGTTCAATAAGAAAATAAAATTATGAATTTTTTATTTTGAGATAATTTAAATACAGTTTAACTAGTAAACAAAAATGTTTATTTTCACATTTGAAAGAGTTATAGAGGTTTTATATTGTGTATATATGAGTGACAAAAAAAAACACATAAACCATTTTTCTGTATATAAATATCTGCAAAACATTTATAGTCCAGTGGTTGAATTTTGGGATGTAATTTACACCAATTCGGGTTCCAAATCCCATTTGAGGCAAGTCTTTTTTTTAGGCAAACTATCCCATTTTATGCATTTATTAAATTTAAAAAAAAACTTATTTTATGTATATTATTAGTAAATCAACTTGAACATGGTACCACAAGAGCACAAAAACATGCATAGTGATCAATCTACAAAACATTATCACTATATCCATTTGTGTATATATATATTTCCCCACAAATAAAATGGAGTTTGGAGATGATTACACATCATACCCTACCATATGCAGTTTTCCTAACCAATTGAAATTATATATAGATCTTGTCATTCTTGTGTGTTGTAAGTTGTAACTATATATTATTATTTGGTTAACTATCAGTTTCCAATAATTGTTAGAAGAACATCCTCTATTATTGAAATGACCAGAGTTGTGTTTTGTACTATATGTGGATCAAGACCCTAGCTAGTGAGTTATATATTATCATAAAAATCTTCGAATGGATTATGTTCCTAGCTTCTTTTTTTAAGGCATCTTTAAAACCGATTTCTGTATACACATAAAAATGATTACGAGTAAATCATTAGCTTTTCCATACACCAGAATTCGTAAATAACAATTATCTTATTTGACCTATTTATTTATATCTTCTTAGACACCCTTTCCCCTAAATCCTCACTGTTTTCTTCAGACTACATAGAGCTAATTATTAGCTTTGAGTTTGAAATAACAATAAGCTTAATTGTGTAGTTGGAATATATATCCTGAAAACTTCACATGCAAATGCTCTTGTAATAAGGTCAACCCCCTATAGAAGATGATACAGTTGAATATCTAGAAGTATTAAATATCTTCAAGACTTTCTCGTTTTTCTCTGATTGGTTGATGATTCCTGAATTGAGACCTTTTTTTCTTCTCGTTTTCCAATATGACCCGTTTGTGTT